CAAATAAAAGCATCAAAAGTATAAGAAAATCAAAGAGAGAAAATATTCAAAAGAAAAACACAAAGAGTTGTTGCTCAGATTTGTGTTAACTTATATTCTCTATAACACAAGAGTTGTTGCTCATTATTATGTTATTCCTATCATTGTTGTATACACAAGAGTTATTGATCATATTTGTGTGTAAACATTTGTTCTTCATTGTGGTGTTACATCTATTTTTTAGACGCATTCTTGTAAATATTGTTTGATTGTAAATCTTTCTAGATTTATTTCTTCAAATGACTAAGTTGTAGTTAGAATTACTTGAGAGAGCTAAGGTATTTTTATAAACTCTTATAGGTTGTTGTAATCTTTCTAGATTATTGGATTAAGTCATTTTCTAAGGTAAAATCACCTTGGCATGTGGACAAGAGTAGCCTTTTCTAAGGTGAACTTGTATAAATCAAACGCGTCACTTTTCTTTCTTAGTTAGTTATCATTGTTAATTTGTGAGAAGCATTTGCAAAAGAAATAGTTTTTGAAAACACCAATTTCTTGTGTTTTTTCTCATCCTTCAAAAAATAGTCAGTAAACTTTCAACATATCACCGAACAATAATAAATGATTTAAAGGTAAACATAAAATATATAAACCCCTCTCTGCCATAATCTATATGTGACATGGTCAGCATACTCTGTGAGCACAGATCGGTCATTGAGTCCTCTTGGGAAGACTTCACATGTGTGAACAGATGCCTCTGTAGAAGCACGAGTCGTAGCATTTGTATCAGTATGAGTATCAACATAGTCAACAAGAGGTATGAAATCCATCTCACCAGCAAAAGGAACATGCTCAGCTGACACAAGAACCTCCTTATCATCAACCTCAATAACAGGAACCTCCTCAGCAAGAGGTACCTCATCAGCAACAGGAACCTCCACGACAACAGGTACATCCACATCAGCAGGTACTTCCACATCAGTAAGTACCTTCACAAAAACTCTAGTTTCTCGGCATCGGAATGCGCGAAACTGGCCATGCGCCTGCTCAGCCATCAGTTTCCGGTGCGAATCGGTCAGAGTAACTCGTCCATCCCATAGCTAGGAAGACCTTGCCTTAACAACCCTGGCCTAGGCTGCCGCTATATCGATCAACCTGCCTCCAATGGACCTGTCCTTCCACCTGGTCCTCATTGAAAAATGAAAAAAGGCAAAAATTAGAGTAAGAAGATTGTATGGGGAATTTGGAAAATTTCAAAATTTATAGTAAATGTTCTTAGAATTTTCACAATTTCCTGTGAATTCTCCCGAATATTATGAAATTTCTGAGAAAATCTTCCTGCAATTTCCACTTTTCAAGTATGTTACTTACTTTTTCTGAAGAGTTTCAAATATGCACTTGAAATTTCCGATATCATCTTTGAGATTTGAAATTTACGCTTTGTGTGAGTGAATTTTAAAAAATAAAAACTTTAAATAAAATCATTATGGTCTTTTCCTTTAATTTGGGGATGAACTCGGAAGGTGCGGTAAGTTAAATTTTCATTAAAAGGCCAATATATGAAAGTCCAATTGTGTTATATATGTATTTAGAACGTGTGACAAAAAAATTAGTTACAAGAGAAGCTAATAGAATCTAAATCTGTTACAAAATACAAATACAATTATAGGTGAAACTACTATAGCTCGTATATAAATGTGTTAGCCTCTCATTTTATTAATGGTATTTCTATGTATTAATAAATTAGAATAATGGTATTTCTATATTAAGAAGGTGTTTGTTTCAAGTCTAGAAATAATATTTTCAAAAATAAATGATTGAAAAATAATTATTTTTATATTTTGTAGAAGGTTGGAAAAAAAATATTCTTAAAAAATAAAAGTTATTCGAAATGAAATAACTTTCATAATTCTTATGATTTTATTTCTATAAGAAAAAGGTGAGAATGTTTATTCCCATAAAATTTCACATATATATATATATATATATATATATATATATATATATATATATATATATATATATATATATATATATATATATATATATATATATATAGTCATTTTTTAAAGAACTTTAAATTATATGCCAAACACAATTTTTAAAAAATATTTTGAAATTAAATCTTTATATTTTTATTCTCATATAACTTATTTATGAGAATCTTTTATGAATTCTTGAAATAAACGCCTCCTAAATTTGACAGCTGACACAGTATTTTCATATGTTTTGTTTATATACTTTATTTTTTACTTTTTTCTGATACATAAAAATATACTTTTGCGTTGTATTTGAGACGGTGTAGGTATTTTAGTCTCGTACGTCATTTTAATGGTCAAATGTGGTAATGCGTGACATATGGTCCTTAACAAGCTCTCATTTTAAAAATTTCGCCTTTAGCTAAGAATGGAACCAAGGCCAGTTTGGTTAGGGAACATGTTGGTATACTATTGGGCCAATTCATTGTTGATGACTAATATTACATCCAATTTTGTTATCAAGTTACGCTCCTAGAATTAAAGCACGTTAAGAACAATGCATATTAAACAGGTCATTTCACATAATATTTTTTATAAATAGGTTAAGTAATTATTCCAGAAATTCACAAACACATATTCACAACCATAGCTCTATCTCTTGTCTAAAAATATGCAAAGCCGCACATACACAAACTCACAACCATCCATTCACTTAACCTATTCATAAGAAATCCCAAAATAACCAGAAGATTTCAATATATAGTACAGTAACTGGTATGAAACTTCAATAGTAAAGAAGAGAAAAAATAAACCAGAAATTATTCCAGAATAACTAAAATCTTAATAATAGTTCTGGGAAATTTATTATGAATATTAACAATTACGCTATTACTTCTCATAGGTACATCGTCACTGCAGCATTAGATTCACAGTTATAGAAAGAAGTGAGATATTGCAACAAAAAAAATGAACAAAACAACATTAAATAATCAGTATATCTAATATTGTCCATGATTAACAATATGGAATTATGACGTGAGTAGTTTCTACTGCTTCTTATACTTCCATTGCTCTATAATAAAGAAACATTTTATCAAAGAAATATGTTATCAAAGAAACAGTTAAAGAAACATTTTATCCATGTTATCAAAGAAACAGTTAAGTTGCATGGCAAGTGAATTGAAAGGATATAAATATCTGAAACCTTCATCTTAAATCCAACTACAGAGGTTTGAGATAGTGCAAACCTATTATGTTATCTTTCAGGATAGTGCAGACCAAGTGTTTGTTTTGTTATCATGCTTTAGTTTAGTTTCAGGAGTGTAACTTGATAAGGAAGTTGGATGTAAATGAAATCAATAATGGTCAAGTGGCCCAGTGGTACTACATATTGTCCAATGTTTCTTGATTCGATTCTAGGCTAATGCAATTTTTTTGGAATTTTACTTAAATTTTTGATGACCTATATATCACATTAACATCAACAAAGAAGAAGGTGATGAATAGAACAATCCATCTCAGCTGATTTCCACTAACGCTGTTTTCACAAGGTAAGAACATCTTTAATAGTAGCAACTTAATTGGGTAAACAAAATCATTTTATGTGGGACCAAAATGTCTCGAAGGATTTAAAGAGTGTTAGTTGATTTAAGTTATTTTTATTTCAATCATAATTGTTTATAGGCTTAAATGCAGTTTTGACCCCCCTAGTTTAAGGTTTTTGGAGTTTCGATCCCCCTAGTTTAAAAGCCAGGTTTCTAGTCCCCAAAGTTTTCAAATTTGGGATTTTTGAAGCCCCCTCCATCTGGCTGCCCAAAAAGTGACATGGCACAGGGAGAGTAATGCCACGTATTATTTATTTATTTATTTATTTTTTATTTTATTTATTTTTTTTAAAAAAATTTTTTTCTTCTCCTCAGGGGCAAAATTAAGGTTCGAAAGGAAAAAAAAAATTTAAAAAAAAAAATATATATATATATATATATACGTGACATTACTCTCCCTGTGCCATGTCACTTTTTGGGCAGCCAGATGGAGGGGCTTCAAAAATCCCAAATTTGAAAACTTTGGGGACTAGAAACCTGACTTTTAAACTAGGGGGATCGAAACTCCAAAAACCTTAAACTAGGGGGGTCAAAACTGCATGCATTTAAGCCTTGTTTATAAATAATTCAAACTTAACCCCCACATATTCAATATTCATTGGGGATACAATTTATTTCATTATTTTAATATCATTAAATTTGCAATAGTTACCGTTAACTATAGAAAACACGGTATATTATAGTTATTGTCACATAGATTTGGTCCAATGCTTGTAAACTATAAATACCTAAGGGGCGACTAAAAAGGTGTTAAGCCTTATTAGAAAACGTAAGGTTATAAATAACAACTCATTAGGACCACCTTCTTTGGGTTCACATGGCCCAAACAAATTTAGTCTAGACCAAACCGAAGAGAAAGAATTAAAAAAAAAAAGACGAAAAAGAATGATGAATTAAAAACAAAAATAAAAATAAAAATAAAAACACTTCACAGTTCACACAACAACTACGCAAGGTTTAGACTCGAGCGCCGAGAGTCACACAGAGAGATACGCACCGTCGGTAATTGCAGCGTCGTGAGGTAGCGGCGGCGAACAATTTCCGATCACTGCATCATTCACTCGACAAGGTAACGTTCCTCCTTCGTCTCTGAATCATCACTCCGTTCAAATATCATCTATTGTTAGTATCGTTTTCTTGCTATTACTCTTCAGATCTGGTTTCTCTTTTGTTTTCCGATCTTATTTCCTGATACTTTGCTACTCACAAATTTGTCTCGTGAATCGTGATTTTCAATTCTTCAATGTTTTGTTATTGATTTATATATAAACTCTAGATATGTAGGGTTTTGAACCATTTTTCTTCAATTTGCCGAACAATTTTTCTTCAAGTTCTAATTTTAAGATAGAATTAAATAGAAAAGTTAATATAGCAATTTGAAGCTCATATATGTGGTGAATAATTATGATTATTGATCGCGAGGCATTTTGCAGATTTGATGGCGGCGAAGTTGCAGCAGTTGACATCCAAGGCGTGTCAGGCATCCCAATTTATAGCAAAACATGGAACTTCTTACCACAAACAGCTGTTGGAGCAGAACAAGCAATACATTCAGGATCCTCCTACAATAGAGAAATGCAACCTTCTGGCTAAGCAATTATTTTACACTCGCCTCGCAAGGTTTTATTTCAATCTACTTTGTTTTTTTCTTCTTTTCATTCTTAATATATCTAGATGGATTCAGTGTGTAATGTTCTCTAGTTATGTATATTTATATATATTTGTATGTTGGCCATGTTTATTGATTTTTGTACTTGCTAAAAGTATAATACGTGACAACCTTAGTGATTAAGGGATGTCAGATGCTTTAAGGTACACTGTAGGGTTGAGAGCTATCTCACGTAAGGGTGTGAGAAGCTCTGTGTATGTAGTTTTTGTATGAATGTTAGATTGTCCCCTTCTCAATTTCAGAAAATGTGGGAGTGGACAGTTAAATCCAGTGTTGTTTTGGAGAGTGTGGTTAACTCTCCTATGACTTCTTCCGTACTGTTACGGAATAGAGACACGTCACTTCCCCACTTTCCCACATCGGGCGACGTATCCCAGTCCCAGAGGAAGGCGACATATGCAATAAACGGGTGGTTGAGGGATCTTTATAGCGATCCAATGCATTACTTGCTTCCCATGTCGTTCGCCCCTTATGGGCCCCTTACTAATATACCAGTACCATTTCAAATGAATTTATTGACATTCTTTGTTGCAGTTTAATGTCAGTCATTATCTATCCCTTTATTGACATGGGAGAAAGCCATGGAGGGTGAGGTTTCAAGTTTTGAAACTAATGTTCATTGTTCAATCATGTTTTTTGGAATGCACACTTGAAATACAAAGTAGACAGTCAGATGCTCAGAGCATTATAATGAAACATCGAACTTTTGTGTTAGATTAACATTAACATTAGTATTTTTGTATGATGATTGGGTAATCACGGGCAACATGAATTTTTTATTAGCAATGAAGTGTTAGTAACTAAATATGATGCATCCCATGAATATGCTTAGAGTTTAGTGTTGGATAGCATATAGTTCACGCCATGAATTAGGGTTTATGTGGTATTGGATTCTACCTTGAAGTCTTAGATATGATCAGAATTATGATCCTATGTTGAACTGAAACGGCAGATATATTCTGAAAATTGTTCAGAACTGCTGTAGAAGTACAATGAGAATGACTGTTTATTGACCCCTTCTGAACTCTTGAACTAACATGATTCTTAAGCCTCAAGGAACTTTTTGGACTGCCCATCTTTAGTTGAAGCCCTAAATACAAAGTTGGAGTTAATTTCATAAATATACCAAATACATCAAACCACAACACTGTAACAGTTTAGCAGTTCTAGAACTATGTTGATCTACATCACAGTGGTACTAACTTTAGAATTGTGATAAGTTAGTTAGCAACAAGTGTTTGGTGAAACGTGACATTGGATCAAAGGTATGAATAGTGGCAATGCATTGATATGCTAGTTGTCGTGATTAGTGCCATTTAGCCGCATTTCCTCTGTTCATTTTGCTGTATGTTTAGTGAATCTGTTCTATTCTATTCTATTCTATTCTATGCTAATTTAGTTTTTGTTGCTTCTGTTATTACATTTAAGTTATAACTCATCAATCTTTTGCAGTATTCCTGGTCGTTATGAGTCCTTTCATAAGGAACTTGATTATGCCAAACAATTCTGGAAGAACTGGAAAGAGATAAAGGTCGAAGATGCAGGTATTGCTGTTTTGTTTGGCCTGGAATGCTTTGCATGGTTTTGTGCTGGCGAGATTGTTGGAAGAGGATTTACTTTCACAGGTTACTATGTCTAACAGTGACCACTTTATAACGTAATGATTTAGCGGGGCTCTATACTCTCCTAAATCCAGGAGTAATGTCATTTATAACATTATGTTGATGTTGATTTTGGGCATTCTACAAGCAATTTGTCATTCTTTTTGAGGAAAAAAGGTTGCAAAACTAGTGGTTAATAAGCCTCGGCAACCTCTTGTATTTGAAGCGGGATAGTCTATGTGCTGTTTGTTCTTTTATCATGTTGGAAAGCTAGCGACATAAATCGACCATAATTATTTTCCTGTGATTTTTAGTCATTTTTAATATCCATGTTTTTAGTTTTGCATGAAATACACTGAGAATAAATTGTTGAATTTTTGTACCGACTCTTCTTGATGTTGAATTTAAGCTAGCCTGAGTACATATTACTGCAATATATAGCAACAGGGCTATTATAAATGAATTATCAAATTTGCCTTCGGTTAATCATATAGTATTTAGATTGAAATTAATTATTTTAATGTATCAAACTCAAATTCTACAAACTTGAAATTTACTAAAGGGAGATAGACTCCCTTCATATACAATTTTAATGTGCCCAGTTTCACACAGGGTCATAAAAAATGATACACCATAAAAAGACCATGATCTTAAGTCGGACAATACAACTTAATGTGGTTTATTGTTGTTTTAGTGTGTTTGATGCCATGCAACAAGTCCGACAAAGCCTTTGATCTTATGTTGCATAGCCATTATTACTAGTTTCATATATATAGATATTTTTATTGATTTAATCCTTCATTTGGTTCTTGAAATATTGAAAAAATGTGGTTTTAGTATATGTAATATTAAAAGTTATAGATTTCATTTTTGTAATATTTGATTCTCCAATTTTGAGCTTTCATTTAGGTTTTGGTTGGATTGATGGAATTGGATGGAGTCGAGTGGAATGAGATAGAATGAAATGATATTTCATTGTTTGGATATGTAAAATCAGATGGAGCGGAGTGGAATAGAGTGATATGAATTCTATTTCATTCATTACTTACCACTATATTTCTTCCTCTCCTGGCTTGTTTTGTCCTAAAATCTCTAAATAGTGGAATAATATCTTTGCTCTGTTCATTTCATGATATTTAAACACAACTTTAATCTTAGTCATTTGAATCTGTTGACATGTCATGGTGATGTGGCATTAGTTACTATTTTAATCATGTGTCAAATTAAATTAACTACTAAACCCTAGACCATACTTACAAGTTTATTTCACATTTTTCCATGGCAATTTCTCTCTTTGATTCGTCAACAAGTTCTTTAAGTTAGTCATATCATTCATTCTTTAGTTAGTTTCTTATTTGTCATAGCATTTATAATAAAGTCTCTCGTATTTGTTATATTGGTTCATGTTCAAGCTTTTCGATTTGCCATCTCGGATCTTTTTCTTTATGTTGTGGTTACACCTTTATTAAACTAGTTATTTTAGAAAAAGAGTTTCTTCAATATTATATATCACCATGGTGGTAAATTTGTACATAGGAGGAGGGGTTAAATCAATTGCATTTAATCTAGACTATGATAAATGAAGTTTTTGTGAAGCAATTAGTTTGACGAAGGATTGGAGGTGTGATAAAGTTAATTTTAGGTTGCGGAGAAAAAATAATTGAGTGGATAGATATTTCAAGTCAATGTTCTGTGATTCACTTGTCACATATATTGATATACAATATCTTATTAATAAAACGATGGATAGATTTATGTTGAGCCTAATGTGCTAGATATGTTTGAGAGCTTAATGTTGGAACATTCGATCACATAATTGATAAATAATAGAGGGTTTGAGTATGTGGAGAAAAATAATAATGAGAGATAGAAGAGAGTTAGAGAGATAGAGATAATTGAGAGCAAAAATATTATTTTTGTATTAACAATGATGAGAATGTTTTCAAGACATTTATATAAATATTGCAAAGTGATTGGGATACAAAACACATAATTTTAAATAAATAAATAAAGTACATTGTCGAGCATGTAATCGGTTAACATAAACTCATAATCAGTTATAATTGACACAAATTGCAAAAATACAATCAGGTGTAACTGGTTACTGTGAATGCGTAATCGATTACGCTAACTCCAAAAGTATTTTTTTCCTTCTTCTAGAAGTAATTTTCTCCAGTATGTAACTCATTACAATGGTAATCAGTTATATCACTTGAATAACTTAGTTTTCACTTAACAATTACAAAATTGTAATGTATTAATATATGGTCAGTATTTTAAAACCCAGACCATTTCGGTTGGTCGGACGAGTTAGACCGTGAATCAAAGGGTAGAGTAGTTTGATAAGTTCATCCGATGATAGTTTTAATTGATTCAGTAAAAACTGGTGTGAACCAACCAGTTCACTGGTCAGACCAGTGAACCAATAGATTTTTGATCAAACGGATTTATCTTTTTATATTTATTTTTTGACTTAATTATTATTTTGATCCTCTATCTTCATTTTTCTTAAGTTTTGATACCTATTTTAAAATTTGATTTTATTAATATTTATAATTATATTAATTATTATAAATAACTAAATAATATTAAAATTGTAAAATTAAAATTTTGTCAAAGTTTAAAAATCTGCTTTCAAAATTATTAGAATTATAATTTTACTAAATATATCATAAACTGACTTAGAAGTCATGTGATCTAATCAATGATCCATTTATCTAACCAATAACTCAGTAATCTAATAGATTAACCGAATCGATGAGTGGTGTTAAAATGGATATAAGAGCAAGTGTAATTTTTATAGTCGAAGCAAATAAAGTTAGTGACAAATATACTTACCAATACTATTTGATAGGGAAAATTGTTTCTCATACCTCAACAATTATCTTTCCACCTCTACAGTTTTTAAAATATTTCAATTATACTATTTTATTTATTTATTATTATTATTTAAAAATCGGAAAAAATTGTACCTTACACTCACTTAAAGAATTCTAGTATATAATTTTTGCTTACCAAATAACTCGCAATAAATTTTTTGATAATATAATTTTTATCAAATTTTTGTTTACCGGATAACTTGCAATAAGTTTTTCAATATTATAATTTTTTTATTAAATGTGTGTTCACCGGATAACTTGTAATAAGTTTTTCGGTTATTATAATTTTTTTTATCAAATTTTTGTTCACTAGATTTCTTGTTATAAGTTTTTTGATAAATGTTTTAATCGCAATGACATAATAGACAACATTTTGAAAAGCGTTGCCAAAATAGAGAAAACAACATAAAAAAACGTTGTTAATGTCGAAAACCACTACAAATCTGCATTTGACACAAGGCAAGGGAAACACTTTATTTTACTTTTTTCACAACTGTCTAATTTTTTTTTGTGATAGTCGGAATGTAATTTTTTTAAATATAATACGATCAGATAACATAGGAGAAAGATTGTCGTTGGAGAATAGACATCGATTACTTTAAGCCATAATTTTTTACGATTATTTAAAGTCATCTTTGTTGTACTCATCTCGTAAATTATTCAAAATATAAAAATTTTATTTTATTTTTTAACTTTTTAAAATATAATACAAGGATATTTTATTCAAATGAATTGTAGGGTGGGGGATAATTATTGGGTTATGGGGTAAGATTTTACTTGATAGGTACTCACATTTAAGTATCAAATCTATCAACTATTAGTAGATGGCTAAGGTTGTGACTGACAAATTTCCTTCAACTAAAGTGTGGGTGTTGTACCCCAAAATTTGCCCTCTCATTTATCAATATTTTCTCACAAGATCTCTTTGACTCAAGACTGGATTAGAGTTTGACCAGCTCAAGACATCTCATTATGCCCTAATGACCCAAAATTAGGGTTTGGGATTGCACAAGGATTTTTGGACTATCAATGTTTCATATGGCTTTCAAGTATCATTATGGACCCCTAAGATTAGCCATGTCAAGTTTCAAGCCTTGAATCACATTTTTGATCAGTCAGTTGGACAATTGACCTAAAAATCAGTTGTATTGAGGCAAAAGTCAACCATGGTCAATTTACAGTCAAACTTCATAATTCTTGATCCACATCAACATTTTGGACTCATGTGTATCATTGACCAAGTTTTGACCATAATTCCTCAAGAAATTTGACCAAATCTCTAAAAGGGCAAAATGGTTAAAATTAGGGTTTTGACTGGGAAAGAGCAATTTCTGATTTTTGACCTAGCAAATGACCAATTAGTTTGAAGCATGATTTCAAGGGGTCAATTGTATCATCTTGACCTAATGGCATGGTTCAAAACATTGTAATTTCATTGGATTGACAGATGAAATTTGCAGTCAACTGATCAAAAGTCAATTGTATACTGAAAAGTCAAACTTTGACTTTTTGGTCAAAATCAAGTACCAAAGATCACAATTCATCAAAAAATGTCAAAATGTGAAACTTGTTCATCAAAAAATCAAAGATTGAAGATTTTGTTTTGAAATTTGAAATTTTCTTAACTTAGAAAATTTTTTTAAGTATAGAAAATTTCTTATTTTTTCTCAACTTTAAGCCAAATTTCCACCATGATGCAAGATGATTCAAAGAAAGTTCCCAACATGAAAGTTGTAGATCTCCATAAAATCTACAACTTTTCTTCACACATTTTCTCCTAAAGATTCTTGGATCTCAAGATATAATTCGGTGAATACATGCTCATGAACAAAAATAACTTAGTGAAATTTTGCCCTAATTTAGGCAGGTTTTTTACCTAACTTCATGGCAACTTTTCACCTAGTTCCAAGAGGAATTTTGAAGAGCATTTCAAATATGAATTATAAAGCACATTGCAAGCTTTCCTCAACGTCCAAGAACTCCTTGAGATCATTCTTGAGTAGGGAGAATCGAAGAGATGGAGTTGGCAATTTCTCACTTTGATTTCAAGCCATTTCATGAAGAACAAAATTCAAATCCAAACCTAGGATGCATAACCCTTGCTTTACAGGCCTCAAACTTGTTTCTCACTTCATTATTTAATGCTTACACAGTTGATA